TGGTGTGCTCTGCATTACTCATTACTCTGAACTTGAGAGCTGTCTGTTCCTGCTCCAGCTGCACCCCGGATGAGTAGCACGGCCGTGCTCAGTACAGGGCGCCCAACGATCCTCATTTACGTGTTTATACTTCTCCATGTGTTTAGGCTCTACATGTGGAGTAGCCTCCCCCTCCTCTGCAGAGCTTGTCTCTCCTTAGATCTGTGGGAGGCGTCATCGCATCTTTACACCTCGCTGCGCCTCCCCTCTACGATGTGACCATTAACAGAGCGGGATAGAATAGAAAGCCTTTATTGTCTTTATTTGTACAACAAGATGAAGAGATGCTTTCACCTCAATGTGCATGTCAGTCATGCATACACAGCGAGAACACAAGTAACAAAAAAGAAGAAGATATGTTTTATTAATCCCCAAATGGAAATGACTTTTACTCTGTTATTGAACACGCAACACACACATAGGCTGAAACACACACACACACACGCACACACACGCACACACACACGCACACACAAACAATGCACAAACAACTTTACCCTGATGCAGTGATGTCAGAGTGAGGGGGCTGACCACCATGGGTGCTCCTGAGCTGGTGGGGGTTGAGTATTTGCTCCCTGCACCTCGGCGGTACTCAGGATGTGACCTGGCACCAGCTAACAGATCGATTTCCAGATTTGAACTGGCATCTCTCCAGTTCCCAACCAAAGGACCTTCAGACTGAGCTACTACCACTACTGAAGATCCATGAGCTGCGATATCCGTGTACACAGCCGTCTTAAAGTATGCAGGGTGGCGCCTGAATCCTTTCTTGTGGTCAATCGTGTTACAAGCCCTGATTCAGGAAGTAACTGATTTGTCAGCTGCAGGGACTCGAGGACTGACCTTCTGCCAGCTCTGGAACGCTCACAGCACTCCTTCACTAGAGACATCATGGAAGTTTCACACTTCAGACACATGGAGCGACCCAGGTGATGATGTCATCGACTTAGCACTGTACTTTTGCTGAGCTGTCCATATAGCTGCTCTGTAAGCCTCAGCGCCTTTTAGAGAAGTACTGTAGCGTCACATTTGAACAGGGGGGCTCTCGCTGGGTGCAGGTGATGGCTTATCACGCTCATAGACGGAGAACACTTGAACAGGCTGAGGCGTGATCTCTGTCTCAGCAACGCTATTACAAGCTTCAGTGAGTCCGAGCAGAGCAACATGTCGGGCGATAAGCAGGAGTTTATACAGGGAATGTAGAGTGTGTGTGTGTGTGTGTGTGCAGTGTTGCTGATGTGTTTGTCTCTTATTCATGCAGAGTTCACTGTTTCTGTCAGCACAACCTTTTTAGCGTGCTCCCATTATGTTGAATTTGTTTAAATCCTCCACAGACTTCACAGGATGCGAGACGTTTGCCTCATCTCAATCCTCTTCCTCTTCCTAAATAATCTGCCACCCGCAGATACTCTCCTTCATGAGAGGGTGGGGAAATACATCATCTTAAGAATACCTTAAAGGATCTGTAAATCTGTAACTCTCCCCCCCCCCCCCTCCTCTCTATATTCGATGCTCACACAGGTCACCATGTGGTGGACACTGAAGCTTCAGTGTTTATCCAGCTCTGCATGGGTCTGTAAACCTTTCTGTGTTCTAACCTCTCTCCATTTTTCAAAAGCATCTCCAATATTGATCCTAGTTTGAGCACGTTTCTGCTCGTGGAGCTTATTAGAAACATGCAGAGGCTTTTTAGGTCGGGTACAATCACTTCTATCTGAACCACTTCTCTTGACCGCTTCCATCGCTGCAACACCTGTTGACCTGATAACTGCTCTCATATCTGACAAACCAAGGGGCGTCCAAAACGGCTGTGTGGGGGGGTGTCTCTCTGGTCCAAACAAATCCAGAGCATTCAGGAGCAGAATCTAAAGTTAGAAGGAGGACATACTGACTGCTGCATTGTTGTCAGAGAAGCCAGCACTTCAACATAGCATGTTTCTTTAATGTCTGATCATATAGTAAGATACCTTTATCATCTCACTCACTACACATCTCACTCACTGGACCTTTAAGATGACCCTGTAAAGCAGTAAAATATCTCACAGGGCATATTCAAGGTCATTCTGCACAGGATTAAAGAGGTGCTGCATTATCCTCATGATCGTTTCATGATGAGATCATTGCACCCATGTCATTTATAATACGTCTCCATGTTTAATTCACAAATCCTGTCCCTTGGCTTATTCCTGTGTCTCTGTTTACTACACTTTAATATTTAATGTTTCTCTCCATGGGTCCTTTTTTTCTCTCTATCATGATTCATTTGTTTCTCATCTGTTTGCATATTTTTCATTTAAGTTTCATGTCACCCTCCTTCTGAAAGCAGCTAAATGTCCTCAGAGAAACCTGATTGTTCAATCAAAGTGATGTTTATTGCTGCAGCGTCTCCTTAACTGAGGCTTCATGTACACTGTACACACAGAGTCAGCGCTCAGACTGCAGTCAGCTGTGTGTGGACAGATGGTGAAGAGCAAGAGTCTCATTTGTGTGTAATGAGTCTTCACTAATTGTCTGCAGATTGGATCAATGTCCTGCTCTGCTACAGCTCAGCTCACAAGTTATTATCTGCAAGGAGACTCAAGTAGGCCCCGTCCAGCTACGTCAATGAACCTTTGTGAGCAAAATGGACCAACATGGATACGCATCTTTTAGTAGCAATACTGTGGAAACGTCCAGATTACCTTTGTAATCGTCTGTGTTTCAGTGCGGCTGGTTTCCAGTCTAATCAGCTGCTCTTCACAACAACATTCACAGAACCAGAGCGCTGGCAGCTCAGGGGAAAGCTGCCTTTTCTTTTAATGCACCATGGCCATTAGAAGCCATATTTTCTCTTCTTTGCTGCTACGTCCACGTCTGTCATATTCACCGGTTTGAATCTCGTCCAATCACTGAATTGTATCCACTCCTAAACTCACCTGCTGCACTGTCATTGGCTGGAGGAAACACACCAGCTCCGCCCCGGAAACGTCCCAAGTCAACCAGAACAAAGCAGAACAGTAAAATCCAGTCAGAGGACAGAGTCTCTGCAGACACAGTCACCACCACACATGTATGGAGGCCCAGAAGAGACGATGGAGCAGCTTCACTTTAGGAGAAGTCTGTCTTTTATTTTGAAGGAACAAGCTGCTGACTCTGTCTTCACTTTAGGAGAAGTCTGTCTTTTATTTTGAAGGAACAAGCTGCTGACTCTGTCTTCACTTTAGGAGAAGTCTGTCTTTATTTTGAAGGAACAAGCTGCTAACTCTGTCTTTACTTTAGGAGAAGTCTGTATTTTATTTTGAAGGAGTAAGTGTCTGACTGTGTCTTTAACATATTTAAATACATTAATATATTAAGTCCTAAAAGCAGACAAAGTGTTAAAGGTATAATATGTAGAATTTTATGAGAATGTTTACATTCAAATATCTAAATGAATAAAAAATGGATTGAACCTACAGTTTGTTATATATCATTTATTGTTGAGTTCTTACATTACCTCAAATATTTCCAACAGTTATCAAAACTAGAGAAATCCATAATTTTATAATTGTACCGGGACGTGTCTTTTACAGGCATCCGCCATGACAGACACGATGTTTATGGTTGCCGTGGAAACACCAGATGCTAAAGACCACTGCCGTCCTGTTGCTGTGTGAGCTGCTGAGATAAAGACGTCATGTCAATTATACTCCATTAGCTCGTCTGTAAACATATTCTCGTCTTCAGGCCGTCTTGACTACGGCCAGCCTCGGCATCATCTTTCTGTTATTGTTTTGATTGACAGCCCCCTGGTGGTGGATTTGACATACTGTGTGTTTAAATGTTGAACTCTTGGGTAAAAGCCCTGAGATGTTCATGTTGGAGTGAGAGGATGTTGTCTCCTCTTCACGCCTACACAGATGTGATGTGCATGTAACCAGCCTTTCTTCACCATCTCCATCAGAACATCATTTCCCTTCATGCAATGCTTTACATCATGTTCAGTTCTATTTTTCTCCTCCTGTGGATTTTTAGAAACGATCCAGTCTCTAATGGTTTTCTTCTTTCAGTGGATCAAAGTCAGCCTTCCCATCATCTCTCCTGCCCGCTGTATCACCCAGCAGCCTCTCTGCTGCAGTGCTCCATGTTTCACAGGAAATTGAACACACATTGATGTTACTGTATATATCAGCAGCCTGCACAGAGTCGGGGTCAGACAAACATCCAGGAGCACACACACACACAAACAATCCCACACGTATCACAGAAGAGTGTCCCCAGACTGTGAGCTGAACTGCACTCTGTGTTCTGCACAGCGTCTCCCTGCTCATACATCATGAAGTGAGTCAGGCTGTTATTATGGAGAAGATGCAGTGTATTAGATGCTCTGACAGATTGTGTCAGGGCCAGCAGCCCTATCAGGATTGGATAATAAAAAGCCAGTTAATCTAGTCAGTTCCCCACGGTCCCTTTTTCTGCACACAGAATATAAAATCCTTACGTCTGCTCTGCACAACAAACTGTCCTTGTCAGGTTTCTCCTCCTCCCTTCTCTCCCATCCTAAAAATAAAAGAGCAATAATTATGACTTCATCTCCTCTATCTCTACCCGTTATGCTGCCAAAGAAGCATGGAGTTATAGTGCAGCATCGTAAAATGTGTTTATTACCTCCCTCTGTAAGAGAATGTTTCTGAGGACCTCGACTCATCAGGAGGACTTGGACCGAACAGCAGGAGGGCTCGACTCAATGTTTGTCCTCTGCCTGGTGAGAATCAGTCAGAGGGACAGCCAGTCACCTTGTAACAAAGTCAGACTGATGTGGACAAGTCCAGCTACAGTCTGCCAATGCTCGTCTTAACCTCTGATGGAGGGCGGAGGACGGGCTCAGGAGCATAATGCTTCTCACTGCCCGTCACAAATGTGAACATTAAAGGCTCTTTCAGGACGCTCTCTCTGTTTAAAATAACATTTACATGAAAGTTACTGTGTTTCTGTCTCTCCAGTGGAGAATAACCCGTGTCAGACCAACCCGTGTCTCCATGGAGGGAGCTGCCTGCAGGAAGGGGACGGATATAGCTGCTACTGTGCGCAGGGCTTCTCTGGAGAGAGCTGTGAGATCGGTGAGTCACCACCCGGGGGGCCGAGAGAGGTCAGAGGTCACCGCTGCAGACAGATGCTGTGTCACAGTGTGACAACATTTACTGTGCAGTGAACGCAGGAGGGAGCACCAGTGTGTGTTTTCAACGTTCTGCCCCAGCAATCGTAGGCACACAGCTCATCTTTACACACTTTAGTGATGGGAGATTGTGGCTGTGCAGTGTTTAAAGTGTGTGTGTGTGTGTGTGTGTGTGTGTGTGTGTGTGTGTGTGTGTGTGTGTGTGTGTGTGTGTGTGTGTGTGTGTGTGTGTGTGTGTGTGTGTGTGTGTGTGTGTGTGTGTGAATCACAAGAAGGAACACACAGGGATCAGAGGAGGCTGAGGCGTGAGGCAGCTGGTTAAAGTGGCGGTGCAGTGTGTGTGACTGTGGATGAGGGACGAGAGGAAAACACAGAAAAGAAGGAGATGTTGCATCAGCAGATTATATCCATATGATTTTTTCTTTGTGATACTTCCAGCACCTGAGCTTTGACACATCTCAGTAGTCTTTGTTCAGTCTGACTGATTGATGCCGGTCCTGCTCAGAGAGCGTGGAGCTCTAATATAATACCAGATGACACTCAAAGCTCCACTCTGTTTGCAATCTTACTCAGGTCTTCTTGCACAACGCTTCATTTGCTTTATTTTAAACCAGGAGATCTATTCTGCTGATCCGTATTTAAATACATACAATGTCAAGATGTTGGATGTCCGTACTAAACCTCGGCAAAGTTTTTTTAAACAAAAGATACACCGCTGATTGCCTAATCCCCAGACGTTACGAGAACTTGGCTAGAACCTGACGTCAGGTTCTTCCGGCCTATCAGAGCAAAGCATGGAGCAAAGCCGTCGGACACGCCTACTCAGAAGTTCACTCAAATGTCCCTGCGTCTTCGAAACAGAGCTGTCCAATCAGAGGACAGTGGGCACATGGGGAGGCGGGGCCTTAAAGAGACAGTAGCTGAAATGAAGCGTTTCAGGCAGAGGCTGACGTTGTTAATGGTCAAAGTGACGTTAACAGATCTCCTTTAAATATATGGGTTGTTCATCTGACTGAAGTTTTATCTGTTTAATGTTTTATAAGACCTGTAAGGATGTTTCATGTCACTGAGCTGTATTCTCTTTGTGTTCCATATGAACACCTTTAAAGAAAACCGAGGGTTCAAAGGTCATTCCTCATGGAAAGAGGTGATAGATCAGGGTTCAGGGGTCAGGGGTCATGACAGACAGATTGTCTGGGGTCTGATTATCAATAACATTTATTGTTTACACACAAAAGAACATCTAATGCAACATTAAAATATGCATGTGCACGAGCGCCATCGGAGATCAATCAACAGTCTGCGGAGGGATCAATAGTTTGTGACATGCATGAATCACACACACACACACACACACACACACACACACACACACACACACACACACACACACACACGCACTCACACACACTACACACGCACTCACACACACACACACTACACACGCACTCACACACACACATATACACTTGCGACACACACACTCACGTTCATGCACACACTTACAGAAATGCACACACACATGGTATATCAGACGATGTTGTCGTGTTTGTTTTTGAATGTGATGGAACTTAACTGTGTTTTTGAGAAAACATTGCGGTCGTTATTTGGGAGGAAAGTCTCCTCGTTGTTTCTGTGCTCGTGTGTCGTATAACCTCCGGCGTAACTCTCTGAGGAGTTTTTAATTACCTTTCCAATTGTTGTTGTGATGCTGATTGTGTAGCTTAACAGCTTCATATCTGATGTTTTTAGTATTAATTATGACCAAAGCCACGAGGTTAATTACCTACAGCAGCAAATGCTCAACCACGGTGAAAGCATCTGAGCACGGCGGAATTAAAACAGGAAGAAAAATGTGCATTCAGTTTTGTGTTCTGCTGCTCTAATAGCCATCACTTTGTTATTCATGGTTTACAAGCTCATGCACCAACACAACACCCCCCCCCCCCCCCGCAGGACTGCAGGACTTGGCTTGTAGCTGCAACTATTTGTGCAGAAGCGTTTTTGTGCTCTGCATTATTGATGGCCTGTGTTTCTTCTGTGGCTCTCTACTTATTATTAATGAGGAGTAGAAGAAGAAGAAGCTGTTGACATCTCAGAGTGTGCATTCCTTCAGAGCCTCCTTCTCGTTCTCTGTATTTCTAACTGGAGTTTTAAAATTATTTCAGTTCAGACCCGCGGACATTATTCATGCAGTGCTCTGTTCAAACAATCCAAGCTATCACTCATGGTCTCCCATCATCATCATCAGGACTGATTGGTTAGGTTTGGGTCGTTCAGCAAAGTTGCAGTCGATGCTCTGATCGCACGTCCTTGAATTTGAATCGTTTTAAGAACTCCCACTCCAATATACACAAAATAAATTAAAAAGCAACTTCCTCCATCTTTGCATGACCTCAGGTTATTCAGTGTGCACCCACAGGAAGCACACCTGAAGCTCACACTGTCTGGCCTCATTTCCATTCATGATGATTAGTTTTGCTTCCTCTCTCTCTCGTGGTCGCCATGTCTGCTCTGCACTTCTTTTTCACTCCCACATTTTATATTTCCTTATTTTAACACTCCATCATTTGACTCGCCCTGTTCTCACCTCATTCCATTCACCCTCCAGCACGTTGATCTTTGGCCAGAGCTGCAGTTCAGTGCTGGAGTGAAATATCTCCACAGTGCAGAGATGGACTAAAAAATAACAACAACCTGCATTTCTATATTTTATTTTCCCTTCCTGCTGCAAACCCTGACCTCTTCTCCCTCGTCTTCTCACTCTGGCCCCCATCCTCCTCTTTCTCTCTGTCTCTCTCTCTTGATACAATTATTCCTTCAGAAATGTCATTGTACTCATGCATCAAATTGATCTTATTCAAGCTCTCTCAGGCTCACTCACTTGCCGACTGGAGTGGACAAATATGTTCACAGGAGTGTGCAGAAAATATATTCATAATATATTCATTCGTTCTCATCCTTTTCTCTCTGCCTCACCCTCTCATGCCCGGCCTCCCATACACTCACACTGTGGTTTGGACTTGTCTTATATAAAACCGCTGTGTTCCAGACTATATGAAGAGCTGAAGCATAACTCATGTATAAAGAAACGCCCCCGCTGGTCTTCTGTATTAATTCATCCCCTGAGTCCCGCTCCTCTCTCATGATTGAGCCTGAAAGATTCATGAGGTTGAAGCTATTAATACCATGGAGTTCTAACCCGCCTCACCAGAGTGTCCACAGATCTGAGCAGTGAGGTCACAGAGGGGGACAGGACGGTCACGCAGGCTGTGGATGATGATAATGGACGACTTATTGTAGATACAAACACAGGAAGCTGAGATATGGTTCAGCAAAGCCTCTAAATCTGGTGATTTGAGGCAGAGAGAGTAAGACTGTAGAGCCTAAAGCTCGAGGTACTGGATGTAATAAAACAGAGTTATGTGTTATCAGAAGTGAAGAAGAAGAAGAAGAAAGGAAGCAGCAGACAGATTCTCAGTGAGTTGTCAGGGTGTAAAGTAGGAAATACATGGAATCTGCTGCCATGCTGCTCCCCTCAGGACTTCCTGTTTATTCCACCATTAATGATTTAAAGGATTTATGTGTTTGGATCTAAATCCTCAAAGTTTTTAGTGCTGAGCTCAATATGTTGTCGAGTTAAACTGCAGCGTTCACACGCTGAGACTTTGCCATCAGAAAAATATTTTTTCATGTGATTTTGAGTTATTTGACTGCTTACATTCATGGACACAGCAAAGAGAAACTCAACAGGGTGTTTGAGAGGTTCTTTATTCTTTCCTTTCTTTAAAGGTGAGATAGGACAGACTGGATAGAGTCTGGGAGAGAGAGAGAGTGGAGAATAATGTGACAATATGTTCTGATTTGACCGTCCTGGATCCAAGTGGCCCGAGACCTCACAAATATCCTGGTTTTGGTCAGTCCCTGTCCCGGTTGCCATGCCAACACCACTGATTTTTCTCTATATATGTCAACAAATGTTGTTGCCAATGCTGCTGCTGTTTTAACCAATAGAAAAAACATCACTAATGCACCACGTGTTAAAGGTCATGTGTCAATCAATCAAAGGCTTGCAGCTTTTGCGCCGCTAGTTTAGCTTATCATGCTAACACGACCTGCTGCGTTATGACAGGCGAGCTGTCATACTGAAAAGGAAGTCAGCGTTTTCCAAAGAGCTCCAGGAAAGTTACAGCTTCCTTTAAGAGTACCAGCCAATGAATATGCTGCGTTCTGCGCACACAGCAGGTGTCCATTTTCAGTCGCCCACAGTGGAAATGTTGACATACAAAGCCGTATTAAAACAAGCAAACACAACCGGAGAGTACAGACAGGAAGTAGAACTTTAACGATCTATTTCAGTGAAGCAAACGCCGCTGATGACCAACTTAAACGAGCTGCTCAGGAGGAAACCTTTACCTACCAACACTTGTGATCAGAGCAGAAGCATCTGTGGGTCCATACATGGGTTAGAGATCAAATTAAACTGTCCTTATTTGGAGGTTTGAAAATATGGTCTGTCACCCTACGATTCAAACCTGGGCCGCCTGCTTGGTGGACTTCATCTTTACATGAGGCTGGAGCACTAACCAGTTTCAGCTGCGGCAGCTGTGGCTCAGTTGGTAGAGTCAGTCGTTTCTCAACCAGACGGTTGGTTGTCGATCTCCAGCTCCTGCAGCAACATGTACCATGCAATATGAGGTGAGGTTTGAATGTGTATGAATGGATGAGTTAATGAGGTCATGTTCTCCCCCTTCTCCACCTTTTCAAACAGTCCCCTGTGGTCTAAATGAAACATCTGTGCTGTGCTTTGATCAAAATATAACATGAATCAAGCACCAGAGGAGGTTTGTGACCCCGTATAAACCAGCTCTCTCAGAATGCTCCGTTTTGGTGTGTGTGTCTCTTTAAATGCAATGAGCCTGCGATGTAAAAGCATGTTTAGTA